AAGAGAGAAATCAACAAATTTCACGGATCATTTAATCCGATAAGTACTTTCAAAACTTCATATATGCATATGGCATATACCATTAATATTTTGCCACGGTAATGTTAACACGTGATGGTTTTATTCGTTTGCTCGTTGAAAAAGATCAAAAGACTACTCGAAATAAGAAAAGAGAAGAGAAGCATATCGAACGAACGCGTTCCGTTTAACAGGAAATACACTTTGAAAGGAAACGCGCCAAGTCCTCAACAGATACATATATATACATACATACATATATATATATATATATATATATATATATTTGTGTGTTGTATATGTATATATATATATATAAAAATATGTACATATACATTACATACATATAATTCCTTAGGTCCGCGGACACATTCATCTCCCTAACCCGTAGACGACAAGACAAACTGGTATGGCGATGCCTTCATTTCAACATTCCCATAAATTAGAAGTAGGAAAAACAGGGAAGTTTGTTTTGATTTCTCGGCATCGTTCTTAACCGTCAGAACCGGAACGAATTTCTCTTTGGCATTGATTCACGGATCCTCACGCAAAAATTTCCCGCCGCTTTTAATCGTTTCCTTTTCATTTTATATTAATTCACCTTTAATTGGCTCGGGTGTGTTTCGTCTCAAAATGAATTTCCCTTAAAGAAATCCATCGACCTTCCGTCAATCATTATATTATCCTTAAGTAAAAATTCTAATCGAATTGTAGGAAAGGAAGGATGTATCGAGGTGAGGTTAGATGAAGTTAGGTGAGGTTAAGCGAAGTTAGGTGAGGTTAGATGAAATGTCCATTCTCAAAGATACAACCTCCTTCTCCTCTTCCTTTCTCCGTTTCCCATCCGCCTACAATCAGTGCTACAGAGGGAAGATTTACTGAGAAAAAGAGGAAACGGTGACGACGCTCGCTAAGATATTTGGTTTCTTCGACGCGTTCAAATTAAAAATTTAATAATTCATTCGACTTCGTGGAATGAAACGAAGGTCCGTTGTTGCTTTCTCATGATGAAAGAAAGAAAAAGAAAGATATAAAGCAGTTGCATCGGCAGCAACAGGCGACAGCACAGTGTAACGGCAACGGAATAGCAACGGCAACAGCAGTAGCAACAGCAACGACAACGACAACAACAACGACAGCAACAACAACAACAACAAAAGTAAAAGCAATCTTCCCTGGAATTCATCCGTCTAAGCGAAGTTGTCCTATCCGCGTAAGGTAAAACGCATAATCCTCTGCACGTAGGTAATCCTTTCCTATCTAAGATCAAGAGGCGTCTCGTAGATCTTCCGTGTCTCTATGGGTAGTAGTAGTAGCCTTTCGCGTAAACGAGTGACGTGCGCGCGTGTACGCGGGAGTCAACTTCTCTCTCTCACGCACAGCAAACACACACATACACACACACAATCTCTCTCTCTCTCTCTCTCTCTCTCTCTCTCTCTCTCTCTTTATATCTCTATCTCTCTCTTTTTTCTTTCTTTGACAAACCAGATTCAATCTAGTATAGTAGTACCTACTTATGTGTTTATCCCTGGCGCATTTAACGTTCGATTCAAAGAAATTTCGCATTATAAGTACGCTTTACGTTTACCTGTACGGTATATACCTGGATATATACCTGGACGTTTACCTGAACGTATACCTTAGATGTATTAAAGTTTACTATCTAAGACCTCTATTCAAGATAAAAATCTAAAAAGATTTTCTTATGATCGCGAAAAGAAACTTTTACTACTCCATTTTACCATCCCTCTTATCGTTCCCATCATATTCTATCCTAATCTACTTCATCCACCACCTCATCCAACCATCATTCGTATCTTTGTATCATTTTCTTCATACCAGTTACGAATTCTTCGGAGGAATGACCATAAATATTAGATTTAGTTGTTTGTGTTGGATTGCATTGCGTTGCATTGCGTTGCATTACGTTGTACGTGTCTCGCATCCTATCGGAAAGAAGTCAAACGAAAAAACAAGGAAATGAAGAGAGATAAAGAGTGAGTGAAAAAAAAAAAGAGAGAGAGAGAAAGAAAGAGAGAGAGAATGAGAGCAGGAATTTCAACTTCGCAACTTCTTCTACTTTTTTCTTTTTGTTTTTTTTTTTTTTTTTTTTTTTGTTTCTAAAATGGTCTACGTGCACTCTTATTTTACACACTTGTATTCTTTCTCCTTATCGAAATTTCCTTTCAACGAAAGAAGCTCAAGAATCCTCTTGAGAATCTTCTTGAAACATATATCTCTCTCTCTCTCTCTCAAAAAAAAAAAATAAAAGAAAAAAAAAAAAAAGAAAAATAAACAAACAAAAAAAGAAACGAAATAAAGAAAAAAAAAAAAATTAAAATCCCTCGCTACAATTCTTTACATGTAAAACATTTAAATATACAAATATTAATACAGTAGTAGTAGTTGTAAATTTGGGGTTAATGGTAAACCCAAGCGTTGTAGGTAGTGCTAATGATATTAGTATAGTATAGGCACGTGCTATAACTTTACTCTCATCGATGACATTACGTTTCTTCGTAGTCAGCAATCCGCAATCCTCTTTACCCCTCTACCTCCTTCATCTTCTCATGATTCTAATAAATCCGTCATCGAAGAGGACACGCATAAATTTTCTCATCCTCGGTACCGTCACGCGTTTTATGCTCGCTCGTGCGCAACTCTCTCTCCCTCTCTCTATCTTTCTCTCTCTCTCTCTCTCTCTCTCTCTCTCTCTCTCTCTCTCTCTCTCTCTCTCTCTGCACTCTCTTGAGCTCGCATTCGTTCTCTTGCGCTTTCAAGTTGATCCGTTCTGATTAACCACAGCAATAAGGAAGAAGTAACGTTTGAAGTTCTTTCTCTCTTTCTCTCTCTCTCTCTATGTATATATATATATATATGTGTGACTCTTACATTTCTTCGATGTGTCCGACTTTTCTCTCTCTCTCTCTCTGTCTCTCTCTCTCTCTTTCTCTTTGTATACGTCTATCTCGTTGCCTGTCGGTTTCTATATATAACTGTAGAGATTCTAGTCGTCTGAGTCAGTGAGTAAGAGACAAACGATTCGACAAACAGGCCGACACACCAGCAGTAGCATATAATTACATCACGAAACGAGAGAGAGTGAACCTACAACTTCTTCTTCTTCTTCTTTCTTTCTTTCTTTCTTTCTTTTTTTCTTTCTTTCTATCTTTCTTTCTTCTCAATTCTCTGGTGTTAAAGATCTAGGTCTTAGAAAGAGGAGCGAGACGTTCTCGATCGGTGGTTCTTTCAAAGAGAAAGAGAAAGAGAAAGAGAGAGAGATAGAGAGAGAGAGAAAGAGAGAGAGGGAGAGAGAGAGAAAGAGAGATTATTTTAACTTAAGCATCAGGTCCACACATATACACGCATGAACGTACACCGATATATATATATATATATATATATATATATATATATATAAAAAAGAAAAGGTGGTCTTATTACGAAAGCCATTAAAAGACCACTACCGTTCGATCTTGTTCAAAGAAAGATTTTTCTTATCGATCGATCGATCGATCAATCAATCACTCGATCTTTTTTCTTCCTCTTCTTATTCTTCTTCTTCTTCTTCTTCTTCTCACCTTTATCCTTTTTTATATTGCACATAAAACGTTAGAAATTGTAACATAATTTTACCCTTTAAAATCTAACGACGAGTTTTCTTATTACACAAGAAGACATGGTATATATATATATATATATCTTTATCTCTCTATCTCTCTACTCTTCTTCTTCTTCGTCTTCTTCTTCTTCTTCTTCTTCATCTTTTTTTCTCTTCCCGTTTGTAAGGTCGGAAGGAAGGAAAAGTAACGGGTTGGACGCGAACACAATGTTTCTAATGACCCTTCATTATCATGCCGGTATCGCAAATTATAGTTTCAAGTATAAAGAGAGAAAGAAAGAAAGAAAAAGAGAGAGAGAGAGAGAGAGAGAGAGAGACAGAAAGAGAGAGAGAGAGAAAGAGAGAGAGAGAGAGAGAAAGAGATGTAAAACACGCTTGTGGCTAGAACCTTGGCAAGGTAAGCCAGTAATTGCACAATGTGATATTAGATATCACGTTGAACTTATTTCGCGTGCTAACATAAGAGCATCGAGCCAACGTCGTTCGTTCCACCAGACTACCTAATTTTATTCTAAATACTCTCTCTCTCTCTCTCTCTCTCTCTCTCTCTCTCTCTCTCTCTCTCTCTCTCTCTCTCTCTCTCTCTCTCTATCTCGTCTCGTCCAATTTCACATGACGCGCGCGCGCGCATGCACTAACTCACTCACTCACTCGCTCGTTCGCTCGCTCGCTCGCTCATTCACTCACGCAAAATTGTCTACTTTTTTATCGTGGAATACAGAATTTTAATATTTCACATGGAAGATATCAACCTGATTAGAGTTCTGCCTGTATGTATGAGTGTACATGCTTTTACGATCATTTGCATATGAGTCGTCGTAAAAAGTAAAGAAAACTTCTTGTTTCATAAATTAAGATGATCATTATTGGCCAATCGTAGGTACCTAGCATCGTTAAGTGCTATCGAAGTGGCCGGTAGGGTTGGGTTGATTTAACATGTAAATGCTTTTGACGAGGAAAAGTTTCAATTTAAATTTACCCTTACACCTCTCCCCTATCCCAAGTCCCTGTTCCTGTCTTTTGCCTCTCCCTTCTCCCTCCTCGATTACCATCACCTACCCCCTTCCCCTCCCACATATCCCTTCAATCGCGTATTTAAACTTCGTTTAAATAGCAGGTATCTGACGTATAGATGGTAGAACGACTACATTATGCCGGAAGGTAGAGTTATGTAAGGAAAAAAAGAAGGATAATGGAGAAAAAATATTGCAAGAAAATAATAGAAAAGAAAAAACAAAGAGATTGAGAAAGAAAGAAAAAAGAAAAAAAAAAAAAAAACAAAAACAAAAATGTATAATCCTTTATGGGATAAGGTAAAACGATAAAAATCCTTTAACGCATTCTGATGTTTTTACAGAGAGAATATACGGAGGACTGCGTGTTCAACGAGACGTTGGAACAGCACAACTACAACACGTACAGCTCGGTAAGATGGTCGACCGGGAAAAAGACACTTTACCTTGGATTAAATCGTCGTGGACAACCTAGGAGGGTACAAGCTAAAGGTCATACACTTGGACGATTGTCGGCATACGCTAGGGTGTTAACGCAAGTGGCACCGCCCGATCGAGTTGAGGCCCTGCATAGGAGAATGTCAGGCGCCGAGCACAATGTACGCCATCGGCACGGTAGCCATTCTCATCGGCAGCAACATCGGCATCACCAACAGGAACAACAACAACAACAACAACAACATCATCAGAGTGAACTTAGTCAACAGCAACAGCAACAGCAACAGCAGCAGCAGCATCAACATCAACAGCAGAATCAGCAACATCAACAGCAACAGCAACAGCAACAGCAACAACAGTTGCAAACGATCTGTCCCAATCTTCCGGCCCAAGAGAAGGACGGTAGGGATAGGTTTAGATGTCGCAAACGTAAAAAACGAAAGAAGAGAAAACGTCGGTGCAGACCCGGGGAGAAAGTCGGTCCGCAGTGTCAATTGCCGGAAGAAAGGGACCCATCGTCCGTATCCGGGATAACATTGAACTCGGAGACTTCCTCTCCTGAATCTAAAAAATCGTGCGAGGGTGCTGCCGGCGAGGAAGCATGTAGAAAAGAGGCATTATCCTCTACATCGAAAAAGAAAAAATCCCGGATAGGAGATGGGACCTTGTTGGAGGTACATACGGAAGATTCGTCTACGAGAGGGAATATCATGACTACAATGATCACCACCGAGGCGACCTTGACGACAGAGGACGACGTGACGTTGGATGTGCCAACGGT